GAAAGAAAGATCTCCGGCGAATCGCAAGACGTGGTTCAGCCGTGGAAGCAAATGGGCAGAGATCACGTGGCGCAAATCGAAATCGCCACCTTCAAAAGTCACCTGCGCGTGGATGACGGACTGACAATTCAATAAGCAGCATTATGCACTGCCTATTACCGCACTGGAGATGCCACCTCGCATGGTGGTGAAACGTATGTGATCTCTTAAAACCAAGCTCGGAAAAAAGATCAACAGATGAGCGACTAAGCCGGGCTACCAGGGTTCCAAAGTCACGTGCGTCGTTGAATTGTTTTTCGATGCGGCGATAGCTTGTTGTGTCGCTCAGAAGCTGTTAGCTTTTTTTTTCTACATAAATGCTGTTTTATTCAATATAACCGTCACGCGCCCCCTTGTCCGCAGGTAAATTGACAATGGATACTATCAGTTTTCAATGGCCATTTGTTAGCATCCATTTCCCTGATTGCGATAGAGAAGAAGTGCCGTTTGTACGTGCTACAACTGGAATAACTTGTAAGATCTTAGCTGATATTTCTGCGTATAATCGTCAAAACCGCTGCACTGGATTGCCACTTTCGAATCCGGACTGGAAATCTGTAGTCGTGGAATCCTTGAAATTATACTTAAGCCCTTTTGGTGAGGACTTGTTTTTCTGTTACGGATAGTGGCATATTGGATAGATTTCGGATCAAGTCTTCGTGATTAGCTTCGCTATTGGCGTGAGTCAGTTTAAAAAACTTGTTCTTTAGTGCTTCTTGTTTTCTTCTCCTAGTATACTCCACTCTGTGTTCAATTGCTAAGCTGAGTTGCTCTGTTAACTGTTGTTCCATAACTCCAAGACAACTATTTCGATGCTCGTTGACACATCGCTCATATTTCCCGATACAGTTGTGGGCGTCCGTGAGCATGATTCACATTATACGTTTCCCAAATTGTTGTGCAACTGTCCATGCCTGTGGATGGTTAATCGGTGGTCTGTGGCTGACGCTGCGGGGGAGAGCATCACTGCGTAAGCAATTATGAAGAAAAGTCAGTTGCTGCCGTGTGGAGGCATGGCTGTAGGCAAAATCCTCCCAGCAGCGAGCAGTTCGGAGCATTTCGAGCCCATATTTGTTCAAAATGACTTAATGCATTGGTATCTCCGGTTGATCGTTCCTGAGTTCATTTCTTCGCCGAGCTTCGCAATTGGTATGCAAACGTTTTCATCACCACACGAGGTGACTTCCTCATTGCGTTGCTGGGTCAAACGTAATCCTCTGACTTGGTCGTCGATTTGTGATTGATTAGCAAGTGACCTCGGTCTGTGCTCCGTGACCATCCGTTTGCCCCAACTTCTCTGCTAGACTTCGGGCGATCCATGAGATGGTTTTGCCCCGGCTGTTGCGGCTGTATTGTTGACGGCTCGTTTAGCTGCTCATGACGGTTTTTAAGTCTTAGCGTTTCGTAAACTGGGCCAATTTTGACGTGCATGTGTATCAAATGCTTCGTCGAGTACCATGCCTCGAGGAACTCTCTTCCTTTTCGGGTTTCTCTTTTGGATCGGTAGAGATCCCTCTGTTTTCCAGATGTGTCACAAAAATGTGCGAACCAAACGCTGGGCTTGTGTACCATAAACTCCACAATAGTTAAAGTGAACATATTCACACTACCGGACGACTCAGGTTTTACATCGGCATGAAACACGATAAAGGAGTAATACAAGTGAAGTGAAAAGAGCAAGTGGACCTCAATTAATCCCCTAGGAATTAGGGAAAAAAGGAACTCGGACGAACTCACAGAAAAGGAAAGGACCAAAAAGATTTTGACAATTCGCGCTTGAGAATCAAGGTCACAAATTTGTAGGACTAATATTTACTCATCCGTGCTAGTTCGTTTGTGCTGGTGCGGATTTCAGAAAACCGGAAGAGCGAACACAACGAATTGTATCTGGTATGAAGGCTACCAACGGACCAAAGATGATTATATCGACCGAAAGCGTACGTCAGTGTCGTAACTCGCCGTGGATGCGCGGCTGATGAGCCGGACGTAGATAAAAATGGTCGTAGGGTCGGCGTTAAAACAAAAACCAATAATGTACGATTGAGGAACGAATTTGTACATACAAACATAAGAAATATCTTTTAGGTTGCTACAATCCATTGTCCTACATGGTTGTTTCTCTCAGGCCATTCTGACTGAAAATACACTCTAAGGCATGCACTGTGCTACCTGCTGACGTATTTCGCATCACGACACTTTCGGGCCGCTTACTGTAGGCGCCGATCATTACAAGAGACCAAAGTACGTCCATCGGTCCCCAGGTATCCGCGCGCGTCGCGATTCTGGATTGGGCAAGACTGCCATGTCGTTCCTACATGTAACCTGTACGCACACGAACATTTGGAACAATCAGGACAATCTCAACTTCGCTACCAAGCTCCAACTAAAAGAATTACATCCGAGCAATTGCTTGAATGACTTTTTGGGGATTTGTATTAAAACGCCTTTCTGCGGCATTTTTTATGATGGTGCGGTCAACAGAAAATTGGCCGTTAATCTCTGACAACGAATCGCGCCACGCGTAAAATTGAGCAAGTTCTTTTGGACGCCCTCGGCCAGCCTTGTCTTATGTATTAGACATGACTTCTTATAGTAGCATGTTATATTCATTGGCTTGCTTGGCCATCTTGGCGTTGCTTTGTAAGGCATTCACGAAATCACGTAACACCTAACAAATATGTTTTGCAACGATCGCGGCAATGGCTGCATCCTCTGATTTACATTTGCCTACTTTGATTAGTCTTGATAAAGCGTCTGCTTGACCATAGACTTACGACCTCGGGGGTCAGGATAAAGAAACTTCGGCATGGAAAGAAGTTCTGCATGCACTCCATTCATGTATAGAAAATGCAACATGCTCACTCGGCCATAATAGTCGAAGTCTACTTTCTGGTAACAAAACCACCATAGTGTTTTTCTACTTTAAAACGACAAAGCGTAACTCACTTGTAGAGTGCCTAATAAATATTTTTATTTTCAGCACACCTGAGAAATGCGTCCGTATTCATTCGATTTATCTTGTGCCCTACGGTTGATAGTATAATGAAGGACACTCCATGTGACATACTTGCGTTTCTGTTGTCACCTAGCGAACATTAATGAGTCATGCATTGCATTTCAGCAACGATGACGCAACTTCCTTACTCTGTTGTCTCACTCCATTCAAATGCTTATTCCTATGTGACCGTGATCAGCAGCACGTGGCTGCGGCCTGAGTGGAACCTAGTACTGTTCCCCAATGTGCCCCATCTTGATTACTACGATGCAGTACGAAATCATAGAGAAGCCGCCCCGGGAGATCGCTTGCTTGAGGCAGATGTGATTGCACAAACGGGTAAATATGTCTTGTGTAACGCAATATCAAGTTGACTTCAATTCTGCTCGGATTATCGCAGCAACATTCATGAACAGAAAATGCTCTAGGAACTCCGAAGTTACCATGCAGATAGGAACGCCACTCCAGCCAATATCGTAGGTTGTGTAGAAACTGCTTTTGTTCAACTATCCACAGGCCTTGTACCGCAGGACCAACATCAGTAGACGATGTTAGCGATCACTCTCGCAAGAGGGGGCTACCGGCAGACGCCACTCATGATGTTCCGACATCCGTATCACTGCTTCACGTCGAGCGCACTTCTACCGATAGACACTGTACAGCATCTGTATGTCAAGAATTAACTGAACCTCACGTGGAATCATGGTCTAGTGAGTTATTCGTTTTCTGTTGTTAAACTTTCAACACCTTTGCAGCTGGCGCAAGACAGCTTGAACCTACCGTAGGTAAAAGAATGACCAGGACCATAGGTTGGTCTCACCTTTTAAATAGATTCATGTGTTACATTTGCAGGTACAAACACGCCTATGGCTGAGAGCTTCACGACAAACTCAAATTCTGATTTCGGTAAGCATGTGTTTTAATGGCAATATGCGTAGTACAATCCTCACACTTGATACAGCGACTCCTGGCAGACCTCACGGAAGTGAAGGAGGAAATGACAGATATTCGAGGTATGCTTGTGCTGGTGGCCCTGACGTGCAATTATATCATCTCATAGAGACGCAAACATATGTGGTCAACGAACTCAAAAGCATATTTGCGCATATTAAGTTACTGAGCGATGAAATTCGGCGCTCCGGCATAACAACCCTGCCTCGTGAACTACCACCGCCAGATACCACTGTTGACGAATGAAGCACCCCATATGATGACTACCGCTCAGTTTGAATCGATTGCCTTGGTGATAAGTTTGAAAAAGTCAAACTCCAACGTCGTTCAGAATCTCGCATTCAGAAACCCGTGCTGTTAATTGTTTGCATAAATTTTTGAGTACCTAAACTTCTTAAGAGCCCGTTACATTATCTTCTCCATTACGCGAAAAGTAACGTAAGTGTGCTCAGAAGGGTTGTTTTGGGGGCATTGGTTTCGTATGATTATATATATATATATATATATATATATATATATATATATTTATATATATATATATATATATATATATATATATATATATATATATATATATATGGTTGGCGGCATCCGGTTTCAGATTTGCCTGTCACTGTGGCCAGCCACAGGACGCCTGCGCCTACAGAGGGACCTTGGGTGGCTTGCGCTGCACCACCCATAGCTCCAATCACACACCCCATATCCAGTGTAAATCCGAAGGAATAAGACCGGGAGGCATGTGGATGGGAACCACGTTTCATCAACGGAGCCGGCCCACACTCCTTCACAGGCAAACACAAGTACGTTGTATTTGGGAAATCAAGCGCACACAAGGCGGTGGCTGGACCCTAGTCCGCTCCACATTGAATGCATGGAACCACTCTTTGAGCGTAACACGGCCACGAGGATGGTGCACTCCGTCCCCTCCAGCAACGACCAACTGTCTCCTGGAGCCAGTATGGACGAGGTAGTGGGTAATAGACAGGTAGGCACCTTGTCAACATTCACATCAAGCGCAGCCACACCGTGGAGTTCAAACAACATCTACTTCTGATATGCAAGGTTACTCAGCACGCAAGCAAACGTACCACATACGCCGCCTTATTGGCCTGGATAAATAAATCGAATGGGAGCGTGCGCATCATGCTTCTATTCCGCGTGCAATAGTACCTTCTCCTGCACCTGAGCAACTGCCCTTATGATCAGTCCACGGAGTTCGCATCGATCATATTTGCATTGGATTCACAACACCTGAAATTAACATGAGTGTCAACAACTCGCCTTCTTCATATTCTGGTAACATTATTTTCGGTTTGTCCGAGTGCCGTTTCCCTGCACTAAGTTAGCCGTACAAAAGCGGTATGAGTATACTCGTCTAATTCCTTCGGTATACACATATACATCGATTGGCGTCATCCGTGTCCAATGGTAGGTCGAATACAACATATGCACATGCGTTTATCCAAACTTAAGTGTGAGCTGTCACAAACTGGATAGAGACACATTAAACATCATGCTCAATGGTACGACAAACGTGTATGGGTTTCGTTTGGAGGTCAGGCTAACAAGCACTTTCGCAGGCATGAGAATAAGTACCCAATACGAACTGTTGATTTTTCCTCAACATTTAGACGATACAGCCTTAAATCTTGGGCATCCATATTTGAAGGAACCCGATATAGCAATAGTGAAGCAACTGCTAGGTATAATGATAACTAAACTACTAGTACGGTGAAATAGTGTGTACTTAGGTGTTGTCCTCTACATGTACAGCCTGGTTTGAGTAGCTGATGGGGATCACACAGCAGGCGAACGCGATGCAGTGTTTACTTCTGGCTCTCTGTGTCTTCGACCGGTTCGGTCATCTGCTGCTCGAGGTATGTGCACTTACTCAAAGAACGATCGGTGCGCAACCTTTGGTATTGACAGGTGACATCAACTAAGTCCCGCTGCCCACTGTCAAACATGCGACTTTCCAAACATTGTACGCATTTTGTGTGCAAATATCCAAGTACTCAACCGTTTGTACCTACCGACGTGTACTCTACTGTGGCCATAAGGTATTTGCTAACGATCTATATCGTACGTCTCGGGTGCAGCCATTCGGTGCTCATAAAACAATTGTCGCTATGCGCCGATTCCTTTCCAATGTAATATACTAACACACTGACGTACCATTCCCGTTAGGGCTCAACATTTTACTTAGTCCATCTAGGTGCAATGTAATTTCTGGTAAGCTTCTCTGCACGTCTGCCTTCCATCCGTTTAGTACGTGTGTTTTCATAAGCCCCGGTAAATTCAGTATGGCTGAGGGACAATTGGAAGTATAACTATGGTCGCTCTTATCACTAGACTGCGGAGTGGAATATGAAATGGCGACATCGTGATAGTCGCTAGTCGGTTAATTGTCGGGATTGTTCACTTGCCACAGAAATTCCAGGGAAATTTCTCTTCGAATGCATAATTCAATGTGGTCACACGAGGGACAGTCGTTAAGCATTGTGTTCCAAATATCAAATTTAACATTTTATGCGTACTGTAAACGGCCAAGCGATAATAACCTTTTGATTCAAACGTATCCATCGAACTGGAAACATACACAATAATTTGCCGCCCTAGCTTTACTCCGTAGCAACAAACAAATCGCTCGGAAACATCGTGCGCACGTCAATTACGCATGAGCTCATGGATGGACTGAACCATTATTCTACTATGCACTGGCTCTCTAAGCGTCATGCTAGTTAGCATTGAGCAGCTGGTCAAGCTACGGTTATGTAATCTACAACTCGATTTCAAGGAGCAGAACGTAGATGGCATAGTCTGGTGAGTAATACCATGGAGCTTACATGGTGAGGTGAATCGCGGCTGAATAATAATACGAAGAGGAAGATGCCGCAGCTCATTGTCTAGAATCCGCTTGAGAAGGTAGCAAGAATAGCATAGCATAAATCATGATGAGTATTATATTGCAATGGGTAATATGTGAAGTCATCGCGAAATACAACCGAGTTAAATAAGCCCAATAAAGTTAGGTTACCTGTGGCTCATTCGTTCTAGGCATGTGCAATAAAGATACTTCATTGCACCAAGTCTGTAGTTAAACATTTTAGCAGGAAACTGTACCCAAACGCGACTTACATGTGGGATATAGAATATGGATGACACAAAGAAAATGACGTAGATGGAGTAAGCAACTTTTCAAGTTAGCAAGGAAATAGTGCGATTATGTCCACTGCAGGCTATCCGTGTCGTAAGGTAAAACCAGGGCCCGTTATAATCATCTCTTGTCCGAGGTGAGCGAGAATCAACAGGGATGTTGAACCACCAGGCAGTCCGTCGTTTGTTACTAATTATTTCCCACTGGTCATTCGTTCTGACCGCTAGCATATCTTGATCAATTCATCAGTGTTTAGAATGCTACCTGTACCCAAGCATTTCGATTTGGATGTCACAACGTGTTGCCGCTGTTCCGCAATCAACCTTGATAACTTGTCTGAGTCTCAGTGCGTTGACCTGAAGGCGGCAGCAGTACAAGGGGGCGTGCGTACAGAGACACTTGAGATGAGATACATTGACCTCATATTGCAACCCGCAATAAGTCACGATGGCACACGAGAGGAAATGTAATAAGATTTATCTGTCAAGTGGGAATGTATCGAGAAACGAACAGATGTTAGCGGGACTTGTAATTTATTCGAGTCCCATTTAGACATCGAGCCAGCAGATAATGGTGTCGCGCGAGTGAAAATGCCATCAGTCTGTCAGGTTGGAGTGTGACGCTTACAAGTGTTTCTAAACGGCTTCCACTTAATCATTCAAGATGAGAAATCAGTTGGCATACCAAAGGTCCCTGGTTCAAGTTGCAGTACTGCAGTATGTTGTGTATGGACTACCACAAACTAGATGTAGAAACAATAACCCTCATGAACAATAACACTACGAACGTGCGCGAGTATGGATTGAATGTAAGAAAAACAGCCATATTTTACTAGTGTTGCAAGATCTCACGTATAATTATCTAAGCAACCAATGCGACTGTCGTTGGTTAGTTAACATTTAAGCGTTAACCTAAAAATGGCAGCTATAAATTTAGTCAGAAATGTGGGCATCAACAATAGATAGAGACAGATAGATAAAATGGGAAACAAATACCATCAATCCGGTTACCAGGTGGAATGATACACAAATAAGAGGTACAATAAAAGAGTGATGTCTTATCGTTAGTGTGTGCATTGCAGATGCCGTCTGCCATATGCGTTAGAAGACGGTAATATCACAGATTATCTGACAACCGCAATGAAGCGGTAACAGAAAGAATATATCTAGCAAATCCCACTGTGTCCTGTCCTACATTCGGCTTTCGAAAAAGTGCTCAAACTGTTATAGCCAATTTACAAGACGTAGCCTGCATAACATCAAATTACCCAACCGTTTGCAGATGTGGCTGTTGTAGGACTAGTTAGTAATACTCCGAGACGGTGCGCGAAAGTAAGCGTGGATATCAGAAGGCAATTGAAGTCGGACACAGCGGACTGTATTCGATAGGCTACAAAAAGACGCGGACGGATGAAGCGAGACAAGAGCGAACACGTGAGCGCGGGAACTTACAAGGCGGACGAGTGTCGCCGGTTGTAAGGAAGATTAAAACAAGAAGGAATAATGTACAATTGGTCAGCATTTAAATTGTACATGAAAGATGAGTTATCTTTTTGGGCGCTACAGAGCTCCCCCTAGAAGGCTGACCATAGAAAGCCTTCGATTTCGTAAAGGACTGTTGAATCAAGGTTCGTAAGGCAAAATCGTGCCGAGTACAAATGAGCGAGCGTTCGTGTAAATGGAGGTTCGCCGGAAGTCGGAGTCCGCTATGCCGTTTGTGATTTGTTATTTATTGATTGCAGGGCAGGGTGCATTTCGGCGAGCCGTTGAAGCGGGCTTGTCGGACTACAAAAACTGGCTAGCCCAGCAAATGGCCGACAGGGCCTCAACCTCCGCTGCTACCAAACGGTGCGCTTGGGAGTGGTCTCTCCTCCCGTTCCGCGCCAAAACAATCCTCGTTCCATGGAAAAACGACCATCGTCCCACGAAGAAACGACCGTCGTCTTACGGAGAAGCGACCCTCGTCCCCGCGAAGCGACACTCATCCCGCGAAGAAGCGACCTTCGTCCCGCGAAGAAGCGACACTCGTCCCGTGGAGAAGCGACACCCGTTCCGTGGAGAAACGACCAGCGTTCGCGTCAGGGTCCTCGAAAACATTCCTCGTGTGGGCCAGTCGATCGAAGGGGAGGGTTCGGGGCATGTAGAGACGAGAAAATAGAAAAACGCGCGC